AGGGAAATAGGTTATGTTATTCCAAAATTGAACTAATTCAGCTTGAACCTGTACCTTCTGATAATATTGATGCACTTCATAAACCCACTTCTAGTAGTAGGTTTAGCTGTTTAAAAAGACTTAATACATCAGATAAAAGAAGAGACCACAGAGTACCGTGGGAGGTGCACACCTGCAAGATCGCCCAATCTGCTTAGAGAGGATGGGGGTAAAAAGCACTTTTCTTCAAGCCTTCTAAAGCCTGGCAGGCCACAGGCAGCTCATTCACTACAAAGCTGAACACTTCAGTCTACTTAAGCAAATTCAAAAGTCTCCAGTTATAGTAAACTGATCAAAACAAACAAACCAACCAACCCCCACCCAGTACTGCTTTAAAGTTCAGGAGAAGTATCTTTTAAAAATTGCCCTTGACAGAAGACAGTCTTTATGGAAGTAACACGAAACTTCTAAGCAGCTGTATGTCCTATTAAGATGAAGATCAAATAGTAAACTGAAATTGAGCAAACTGGCATAAAGGCAGAAGCAATAAATATTTTATGTAGTTGTAAGGAAATTAGATTAGATTTTGAAAATATTACAGTCTCTTAGCTAGCAAGTAAATTCTAACAATTCTCTTAAGCTTCTGCTTCAGTACAGAATTCAGTGAATATTGCCCGCTGACAGCTGGAGCGTTAACAAAAACGAAACAAAACACCCAATCACACACACCTACTCTAAACACTAGATAAATCTTCACATTATGAAAATTTCAGCCAGGGTAACTCACTGGGGACAACATTTCTCATTTACTTACACCTAGTCCCTAGAAATTTACTGTAGTGGAGTAGCATAAAAACAGCTAGATATGCAGTACTTCCAATCAATGAAAAGTATTAATTTTATGTCTAAATTTTAAAGCTGGAAGTATTATTTTCAGCAACTGGTCGGCTCCTCTCTCTTGTGCTTTAGGTTTAGGATACCGCTTTATTTTGCTGTTACAACTAATTTTCCAGATGCTATCAGCACAAATAAAAATCCAATTCTGCCTATACAGTTATAACAAGATTTTCAAAAGAGACCAAAAACAAACATGCTCGCTCAACAACTAATTGCAACCTATAGCTGATCCTTATAGGAAACATGAATCTGGTTTAGGATTTGCAGTCACAATAATCAATACCTTACTATATGCTTAATGAATTTTCTGACCTTTAGGAAAGCATATGCAGCTTAACCAATTTCAGTGTATTTAATAATTTAAACTTTAGAAAAAAACATTTGCTTGGTTCGATAGAGATGAGCATATTTTATCTGCCTTGATAAGCTACATTTTATTTCTTTGACAGGAGATCAGTCCTAATTATCAAGCCATTAATTTCTGTGTTTTAATAAAGACGTGTCCAACAAAGCATCTGCCAGTCACTGGACCAAAGGAGCCAGAGGGATAGAATCAATACTCTTATAAACCTGCAGGATAACTTAAATGGAAAATTTAAGGCAAAGTATATTTGTATTTAAATGTAGAAGACATTCAGTTTTTGCAACAGGAGACAGTGTTTGAAAGGTATTAGTAGAAGTATGAGTAAAAGTCTATCAGTAAAATTTGTAATATCACAGCAGCATACACTTAAGCTGTAATTTAACTACTGAAGCGTCAACAGCTCTTTTCTCCATTTTCACATTATAACAACTATTTTTTTAAATTTGAACTAGACAAAATATTTGTAGCACTTATTTCTTACATAGATTATGAACACCATCGGTCAAAAGACTGAGATTAGCTGTTAAGTCATAGTACAGCTTCCTTAAAACTAATAAAATCCAGAAGTGACAAAAATAGCCCTAGCCCACAACAACAAAAAAAACTCATCTGAAAAATTGCGTTCAACACCGAAAAAGACTTCACTACTTTTAAAACTGCAATAAGAAATACAACTCTGGAGAGTACTAGACTGCTAAACTAGTCCTTACTAGTCTCCACAGAAATTGAACAAATTTTTTCCCTCTATTAAGGGCTACTTAAGAATACCTCATTTATTCTGCTTTCAATGGCCGTATGAGAAGAGATCTGTGCAAGAGCATCATTTTTCAACTATTTACTTCTCATTTAAACCCAATATTTTGTGACATTTTCACGAATGATTGTGTAGAAATGATTCTGTTAGAGATGATTACAAATCTCTAGGGATGAACAAGGGTGCAAGGAAACACATATCTCAAATTTCTAAAGTTTCAATGAATTCCAAACACTCACTGAAGTCATATAAAATGTACTTCTCCTGCAAGCACCCCTTTGAAAATATAACAATTTAGAAAAAAGCAGTCTTGCTCTCACATAACTGTCAATTTTTTAATTAAAAAGACATCAAGATAAATGCAGAAAAAAATTAAGGGACTCGAAGAATTAAAATGATCTTTTTGTAGAATTGTCAGAAAAACAATAAAGAACATACAGTCAGACCAACACCAAGATAGTAGCCTTACCCCAGGTATAAAGGTAAAGACGTTGTATTTTTGATTTTTTATGGCATTTTTGGGATATTTTTCTTCACATTTTTCAGGACACCCAAGCCACACTGTGCGAGCCTTCAGCTCTTTCTTTCTTCGACAAATGTTTATGAGCCAATCAGAGCAACTGGAAAGAAAAACAATCGTTTACTTAAAGATAAAAATTTACTGAACATGACTGTTTAAAATACTGAAAGCCTAAAGGCAAATACCTAAGAAGAACAGGCTTTAAATGTTTGCTGAATCTGTATTAGCAAGCATGATGTTGATTGTTGTAATATTTAGTGTAGTCATACAGTACTCCTAACCCACTCATTATTTATATATATTTATATGTATATAAACACACGCACAGACACAAGCACAGACACACACATTCTTTATAGGAAATTCTAGTAAAATAATGACAGCAAGTCTCAATACACCTTGCCCTGACACAGGTCCAGTAAATTCTAGTTAATGCCAATCCGCAATAGCGGTGACTAACTTGTCACACTGTCAGGTAATTAACACACGCATCATACCCTACAGTCTTTGGCCGAATTCTCAACCTTATATTACTGATACTCAAATTAAGCTAATGGTTTAAAGAGGAAATAAGCGTTCTGTTGGATGAAGTCTATGAAAATTGCTATAGTTTTGAATAGACTACAACTCCCACATAATTTGTAAATCTCAGTTTCTTCGAATAGGCTGTCTATAGCAGGTGTTACAGGGAAATATACCTAATGCCACATCGTTGAGTTTTTTTTTCAAGAAAAAAAAAGATGCAATGTACAAACAGACCACACAACGTTTGGCAAGGATGACTTTCAGCTCACATAAGAGCAGAAGATGCAAGTATCCTTGCCTAACCTGCTTAGTGATCTGCTGAAGAGGGTTTAAACTATGAGCAACGAGATGGGCAGAAATTGCTCACGCACACCTTTAAACAACTGCAATTTCGATAAAGGTAAGAATTATGGGATTAAATTACAATATAGGAGGAAGCAAAAGGCTTGCAAATGGAGTAAATCCACTAAAGTTCAGTAGACCATTCACTCATGATACTACACCAAGAAACAAACATGGATATGATTCAAATCATGTAGCATAATCAACCTAAGACTTGGAAGGATAATCCACGTAACAGATTATCAATATAGACAGGTACAAGTGGTTAGGAAAAAAGTGGCAGTGCGGACAGAAAAGGAAGTGCATTTGCTATACAGTATGTACTTGTTCCTCAATCCTATATATTAAGGGAGTAAGTCTCTGAATGTTTAATACTGGGAGGAGGGGCCTTAATCATGCTGGGAGTCTATTCTAGACTAGTGAACCAAGACAACTGAGTGGAGAGGCTTTTTGTGAACATCTACCACAGTCAAAGCACAGAACTAGGTGGTAACAGTGGATTTCAACTACAGAGGCAAGGAAAAGGAAGAAGTGACATACTTTTTGATTAGGTTTTTGAATACACTGGTAATGTTTTTGGTACAGAAGGAAGAAAAACCACTGGAAAGCTTTTCTAAATTGTATTCAAACCACCAGGAAGGAGTTTGCTCAGAAGAGAGGAGGAGAAAATTACATTCCAGCGACCTCAACTTCGTTTCCTGAAAGAATTCTTCAGAGTCAACCTATTTGTACACATTTGTATATAGCTGAAAGAAAACAAAGTCAGAACCAGCACTTATACATCAAAAGCAACCCGTACAACGAAACTAATCTTCTTTTGACAGGAACAAGAGGCATTACTAATAGGGAGTAGATGTCCTGCATTTACTTCAGTAAAGCTTAAATATCACAAGTCATTCTTCATTGGGAGAGTAAGGAAGCATGTTCTTGAAACAGACATAGTTGGAAAAAGCTGTATTTGCAGAGCAGCTTGTAAAAAGCAAAAGGATTTCAGTTAAGTTCTAGAGAGCTTTATCTAGAATTATTTAATATTTTCCATCATTTACTAGGTAATTGACTAGAGAACATACTTATTACATTTTTCAGACAACGCAGACATGCAAACAAGAAAGTGGAATTCAGAATTGTCTTGGCAGATTAGAAAAAGTTGCCCAGAAGAAACAAGATGCAGTTGAACAGGTAAAAGACCAAGTATACATTTACACAGAAACAGCCAGCTACACAGATACAGAACTGGAAATGACCTACTGAACAGCAGTTCATAAGAATGAACATGAGAATGTTACGTAGGTGCAAAAAAGCCAAATATCTAGGTAGCGCACACAGGAATACTGCTGGTAAGACTCATGAAAGAATTCCTTTTCCTCAGCTCAATGCCAGCAAGATCTCAGCTGGCTTACTAAACTCTTTTTTGAATAGCACATTTAAACAGATAGACCTATTGGAGAAAAAACCCACCAAAAAACAAAACAAAACAAGAGAGCAACAAAGCAATCATAGGTCTAGAAAATATTGCATGTATGCCTCCTAGATACTTTGAAAAAATAGGAGTTGTTTAGAGAAGGCCAAGAGAAGACTCAATATGACTTCAAGTATGCAAAAAGCAGCAAGGGACAATTAATCATTGTGGACCTAGCAAGTAAGTAATGAAGGACTTAAACCACAGCAAATAACTAAACAGGGACAGATGTTAGGTAAATCCTTCTAATGACAAGGGTAATGAAGTGCTGGAATGAAATGCCTGTGGAGGCTGGAATTTCTACCACTGCAGGTCTCTAGGAGCTGGTTAGATCAGACATAAATAACAGAGGTGTAATCCATCCCGTGGAGGCAAAGAATTGACTGAATGACCTCTTAAAGTCCCTTCCTATGCTGTTTTTCCTCAGCTGCAGTATAAAGGTACACACAAATAAGCACTGAAGGAAGACTGATAGTTAAGCTTACATCACTATAGCCCCACTTTAAACGTTTTCATCTGTTGCATACATTATCACAGGTCTATTTACAAACTAATTTTGTCATAGAACAAATGAAGTTCAAAGTTACAGGCTTTTCTTAAAAAGCAACCTGAGAGCTATGCAAAAGTCAAAAAAAAAAAGTTCTGGAAGTAGCTCAATGCAATACTCACAAACTTACACTTAAAAATACTTTAATTCTAAATAGTGGATTTTTAAGATTTCCTCCCTGAAGTTTTTACTAAAGGACAGATATCAGTTTGTCTTGATTCTATGTGAAAATGAGTTTTGATTTGTGAATTTGAGGTTTTGTTACGAATACAGTCCATTCAGAAACTTTTTCCCCCCTCAATTCTAATTAGTGACCCAGAATCATTCTGCTTTAAAAATCAAAACAGCATTCGTTGAACATTCAAAACGCAGCCATGTTACTTATGACTTATGTGTAACAGTTCAGAAAAAAGACATACAAATATTTTTATCACGACACACATCTGTCTTTAAAGCAACATGAATAGCACTGGTTTATGTCACAGTACCACAACCAGTTTAATGAAGGTCAACCTATCCTGCTGCTCCTGAAAGGAGTAGTCCCATCCTCCTCCCATAATAAACGTGTGTATTCTTGCCCCTTCCCCTTACGCTCACACAAGTATTTGTGCACCTGCATTAGTAAACCAGACCAGTAAACCGATCTAGCTGGAAAATGGCCCAGAATAAGAAGGGGATTGTTTTTAGTTAGATCCAAACTCCATTTGGTTTATCATGCAACTGTAAAAATATGTGCAAAAGCACAGAATGCGTGCTTGCAGCAGGAGGTGGAACCACTCCACTCAGCGGCAGCTTAGATTTACACTTGATCAGACTGCTCATGGAATGAAAGCTTTACATAGATTAGTTTCCTGAGCAGGGGGAACACACAACACAAATGGAAGGAACAGCTTAATTGTGTAGTAAAAAGTGACAACATGGCTCTACTTCATATGATAATAAGCTACGGCAAAAAATTTCAGGGAAAATAATTATTCCTAAGAAAGCATGACACCTAAGCCTGTAGGCAGAAGTCTCCTGACAACCTCTGAAATCTTGCATTGCTTAAATCAATTTTTTATTTCAAACTGCAAAAAGATCAAACATTGGACTAAGCACAATCTCTTTTGCAGACTTTCCTCAGACACTGAGGACTTTTCTACTGCTAACATTAAACATTTGACTTAATTTGATAATTGACTAAATTAAACATTCAGGCTACTGTATTACCACCTGCCTTGCAAGGGAGTTTCCCCTTCTTGAAACAAATTTTTCCACTTACAGATTGACAGAGTAGCTGAAACTGATGCCACAATGGCCATCAGTTTAGCAAACGCCAAAAAGTACAGACATGGGAATGATATCTGTCTATGAAATAACTGTGATACCACTGATAAAAAGGATTGACTGACATGGATATGACAGCACTTTAAGCTCTCGGATGTAAGAAAAATCTCAGATGATGGAAGTAATTATGGGTTATACCCAAATCAATTTTGCAATGGTTCAGATTAGTTTTACCATCTCAAAG